CACAGAGCTTCTGTACAGCTTCTGGTACTCCTTTGTTTATCAAGCACCTTGATGCTCACAAGGGTTTGCTGAGATGCACACTTTCGATACCCGTGGTGGGCAGAGCACAGATAGCCCATTGTGTAGCTTTGTGCTTAATTACAAACAAAGAAACAAAGAGACTCTCAATCGTTCGGGGGTCCCATCGACGGCGTTGAAATAGTAGAACGCAGCATTGTAGGCATCGTTGGTGATATCGTGGGTGTGCTGTTTCGTGGTTAATGATGCGGATTATGAGGTCTGCGATGAGATGGCGTCGAGGGGGGGGGGTTGTATTGAAGGTTCAACCTGATTGCTTCAGCATAAGATCTATCCCAGGATGGAGCTCGGTAAAGGCCGGGCTCAGGTGCAGTTTGGCTCAGTTGAAGGTAGTCTGGTACTCCACGGATGAGGGATAACTATCGGTGGGTGTATGGCTGTTGGTGCTGCATTGGTGGTATTTCTGGAGGTCTGGACTACCTTTATAACCTACTGATACTTGGGCAACCTCTGTAGCTGGCAGCATGTGGTCCTCCATAGTTGGCGCATGTGGCTTCCTGTTGTTGGCGTGAGCAGTCTGATAGGGGGTGTTGTTCCCCACAATGGACACATCTGACATGGGAAGTACATAATGTTCAAATGTGTCCAAACTTTTTACTATTGTAACATTGCAATACAGGAGGATGGTGGTCATATCATAGGTCGAAGCCACTTTTGATCAGCTCGGCTGCATCTTTCTCTGAGGTGACTGCAAGTCATACTTGTGGGGTATCATGACCTGTTCTGGCAGACTTCATTCGTTCGGCTTTCGTTGTTGTGATATCTTGAGAGGTATTCGTTGCTGTGATGCTGTTTATGAAGAACTTCTTCAGGCTGGATGTCAAGTGGGACACTTCGATTTATAATGTTGTATGTCTTGGTTCGGCTGTTGTTCCCGGGAACGTGAATGTTTAGCTTGGTTCCACGAAAGGCTGAGCTATCCAATGGCTTGAGTATTTTGGTGTATTCCGGAGGGTCACTGGTCTTGATAACGATTTCCCCTTTTGCCAATCAGCGAAAGTTGGAGAACAGGATCTTGGGGAACAGACGCTTGAGTTCCACTCCAATTTCTGGTTGCCTGAATGTAGAAGGAATGCCTTGACGGTTAAAGCTGGAGGAGAGTAGGATTGTTGACTGGGTGATGTAACTGGGCTGGTTCTGGTAATAGCTGTTTCATGACTTGGTTTTTCGAGTGGCGACTGTGGTTGAGGAGCGGTTTTCACGGCTTTGGTAGGTGTAGCACATGGAGTAGAACTTAAAAAGATAACGGATCTTCTCTGGTAGAAGCTCGACTGGTTATGCTGAGGGCTTGGTGGGAACAACTCTGGAGTATGGCGAGTTGTTCTTCTGTCGTCAGTAGTGTGCTGGTGGATCTTGTTCCCATTTTCTTGGCTGGGGGGAAGGGTGATGGAAGTTCCAGGGACATGTTCTTGTCAGCAGCTACTAGTGGGTTGGAGTTTTCTTCTTCTCTTTACCAAATACTATGGCTGGCAAAGAAATATTTGACAACAGACGTTCAATGTAATGTTTGTTTCCTTTATAAAACAGTAACTAAAAACACGTCTGATCACTCTGAAGACTAACCAACGAATGAGGTTTGTTTTGCATCGCTATTTATATAAGCCAATTGATAGACCACAGCCTTTATGGTATATAAAAAACTACTATTACAAACTCATGAAGAATGATTACAATTATATCGTCTTAAGTCCTAAAAACAGCCTTATTACATTTCTGAACCTTACATACATTCTTTATCTACTGCCTTAGAAAATTTAGAAATTCGAAGATGCAGAGCGATTGTTTAGGGTACAAGCAGATGCGTGTTTCTCACCGCTAACTACTGTTTTACACATTTTCCGTTTAGTTTTTGCAGGTTTTCGATAACGAAGTAACATTTTCTCTTTTCTATTCATAACTTTCGTTGGACGCGATTTCTACATCATTTCACGTGTTATCCGCAGTTAACAGCCGATTTGAGATATGAAAGATTAACTATCATTTTGTATGTTGATTATAGGTATTTTTCGTTTTTTCTATGTCGCTTTGGACGTTTTCGTACTTGTTTATAATAACAAATCAATATACAGTCAATAGCGCGGGCAGAAGAAACTTAACGGAAAGGTAGTTCTTTCTATGAACTGATGTTTTAAGTATAGTTATTCTTATAAAACTTTAGAATCGTAACAACTATTACAAATAAACAATTATTAGTTTTAAGACTAAGTTAAACAAATTATAAATATACAGACAAGATACAGTGTATGGGGGGGGGTCAGCATTGTTATGGAAATATCACTGAAGTCATCAATTTAATGAAAATTATTTTTTGCGCAACTGGCATAGAAATAGAATAAGCATATTGTTATTAATATAGTACAGGATCGCATTCTGTCAATACTTTGTTTTACATTGAAGAAAAATAGTATCATACGATTGATGTGCATATTATTTTTAATTTTCTGCAGTTTATATAAGAATATATAAGTTAATGGCATGACTTGTTAGTTGTAGTGAATGTTGCTGTAAAGACCTAATTTAAGTAGTAATTGTGTGTGTGTGGCTTACGACGTGGTCAGGTATCGTTGTAACTTGAATCAGTTATAAGGCTATTATGTATTGCCTGTTTTTTGTAAATAAATTAAAGTGACTGTACATATTTGATAAAAAAGGAGGAACGACTTTTAACTTAAAAAAATTTAATATTTCTGTATACATTAGGGAAACATTTGGCAAAGAGTGAGAATTATAAAGTTAGGCTTTTACTGCAAGTTGAGATATAAAAAAAGAAAGAAACAGTTTTACTTGAAGTTCTGAAGTGGACAGATTCTTTTTTTTCTTGTGAAAAACAATACATTTCAGTTTGCACTTCACACACACAATATTTGAGGTGTTTAAGAACAAGAGAATTGATTGTGTTCATGCATCAACATTTGTTATACTAAATACTAAAATAGTGACAATGGTAGGAAATGGAGACACAGATATTAATTTTGACAAGGTAAAAGTCATCTTCAGTTAAGGCAATTTTTATTTTTCGAACAAGGTAATTGGCCTTTGAAATTGGTTGCCTTCAAATGCAGTAAAATTAAGAGAAGGGTTGATAAATATCTGAATGATAAAGGTTGACTTTGGATTTTATTTTGTTTTTCTACGATAAGGGCCCTAGTATCCACTCTCTAAACTTGTATCTAACCTTAACAACATTTGTGTATGTTTATTTTTATAAGCAGTTTTGTTTGTTGGTTTTTACTGAATGTTGTTTTTTCAGCTGATTCTGGAGATGTAACTAAATCCTTCTGAGTAAATGATAGGATGTCAATGTGAAAACTGGCGTGTATTGGACTTGTTGTGACATGTGCAGATCCAGTAAAAGTCGGTGGAGAATAAGGTATTTCTATTATAATCAACTTTATAATACAGGTATTAATACTTAATCCTAGTTTATCCATTGTAACTCTCAAATTAGGAATATTATGAGTAACACCACGTAACCAAAAAAGTGAAATCTTAGTTAAACGTTAAAAAGCTTTTCAAAAGCTGAGAATGTAAACACATAGTTGAGAATAGTATATCTGTGTTCTTAAAGGGGAAAAAAAAAAAGCTTTAGATTCAATGTTTTTTATCTGTTGAAAATTATTTCATAAGTACAAGAACTTAAGTTTATTGGTTGTTAATAAAATTGTTTAAAACGGTGTTGATGAACAACTAATGATCATTATTGCTATCAATGATTGGTCCTGTCAAGTTGTTACAAATTTATTTTGCTTAAATTTCTGTACGTTCACTTGAAAATAGCTTTAAAAGCATAAATATCAATAGTTTGATGTTTAGAGGTACACATACATTGTACAGTAATAACAGCTGTTGAGATACATATTTAAATCCATGTCAGCAATGCATGATCATTTACATGATTGTCACGGCTTCTTGATTCAGCAAAATACATTTTTCTCATATCTGGTTGGCTGTATTTTAACTAATAGACACTTTTAAACTTACAGAAGCACAAGTTATACTTGTATTAGTAGCCTTAAACATCTATATGTCGCAATTGTAAGGTTCCTAGTTGTCAGTCCATAATTGTAAATGTTAGGCTTAAATAATTCATTCAGTATGTATATGTTACTTTGTTTTGAAAAAAATACAATTTTTTTATAATCTGAGTGTTTTTTCTACAAATTCTCGGAAGAGTATAATTTATCGTAATATCAATTCTATTACCAAGTCTTTTAAACTTAAACTTACTAACTTAAAGCCATATCTGCAGTACATATCTTGATTTATTAACTACCATCAGTAAGTTCAGATGTAAATTTCAATTCAGCAAACTATCTAAAGTTTAATTAATAGTTAAGTTGAAGCTGAAAACAAAATTACAAAGGGCTCGCTTAGATTTATATAACAGACATGTTTCATGTATAACTTGAATTACACTATACTTTTAAATTTGGGGTATAAATACACCTTGTGAACAAGATTATGGATGTGCTAATAGAAATAAGAAAACATTTTTATTTCAATTTTTGTTCTTCTGGTCATACTTGTCACCATATCTTAGACAATAATAATAAAAATTCTTTGATGTTTAACTAAAGTTACCTTATAACAAATGCAGTTACAGCGTTCAACTTTTTTTATAAGGTGTTACCAAATGTAATGTGTTTGATATTTGAAACACTTTTATAAAATGACAGGAAAGAAATTTAGATTGAAACATTTTATATAAATGTACAGCATTCTGGTTTTCATTGAACTAACAGGAAGTAGGGAAACCTAGAGGAAGGAGAGCAAGGACCTGTATATTAAAACAAAGAAAGCAGTAAAAAAAAAGTGAGATTGTAAATATAATACTTAAATATAACAAAATGAACAGATAATAATAAAAATATGAAATATCCAGAGACTGCAAATACATGATACAACACATTCTTCCTCGTATAAAACAGATGATTTTCAATACAGTAACTTTTATATTGAGAATACAAGTAACTTTTCATGCTTTTAACAAGAGTACTCATATTTGTATTAAGTAATTTATATGGCTGTCACTATGTTATTTTAGTTTTTTTAAATGACTCCTGTTGTTTACTAAACATCTCGCACTTGTAGGAGGCTTAAGTAACTGATCCGAAAGTTTGATTGAAAATGATGATAAGAAATCATAATGGTAATACTCAGATTACATGGATAGTCCGTGAAACAGTAATAAACAGAAACACTATTTTCAACGGTGAAACAGTAATAAACGAAACACTATTTCCAACGGTGAAACAGTAATAAACGAAACACTATTTCCAACGGTGAAACAGTAATAAATGGAAACTATTTCCAACGGTGAAACAGTAATAAACGGAAACACTATTTCCAACGGTTAAACAGTAATAAACAGAAACACTATTTCCAACGGTGAAACAGTAATAAACGGAAACACTATTTCCAATTAGTTGATTATTTTCATGACATTAATTGATTTAACTGTAATGTGGATTATTTAATTATTTTATGTAACACTAATCAGTGTAATCAATGTTCATGAATAATATCAATTAATCCAGTTAATTGCAGTTTGACACTACTGTATGTTCTAAAATATTGTTCATTTTACTTTATGTTTTAATGGTTAAAAACTAATATTGGAAACCTCTACATTATAAATTTTTTCTTAAATTACATTGTAAATGTCCTTGTAAAAACCACTTGATAACTTGCGTAGTGAAAGATTAATGGAACTCTCGGTAGTAATTTTAACAAAGAATAAACTTTGAAGTCTTATTTTTAAGGTTTGGTGGCTTTACATTTTCTAATATTTTAGCAATAGTGTTGAATATTAAGAAAAAGTTACGATTTAATACGCTACAAAACATTCATAATCTTGATTGAAGTGAGTGATTAAATATGAAATGTAGCATTATTGACAAAACTTACCCACTTGTGTTGAAGAATTATTTTATGCTAGTTTTGATCTCTGTTTATATGTTTTTTTAATAGTTGTTCACCATATTCTTATACACATTTGTCATAAGCTTTACTTCTGAGTGAGATTTGATTCTTTATAGTTTTTTATTTTTGTATTATGTCTTGTACTTTGGTTAAACTGTAAAAATACATTATTTGATAATCTCATTATTTTCAATTTGCTTTTTTTTGTTATATGTCATCATTTTTTATTTTCCTGAAACTGCATTAGAAAACAAAAACACATTAAACTGCTATAAAAATGATTAAATTTATTATAAATTATAATATAAATAATTATAAATATAATTATAATATAATATAAATTTTACTCTCATTCTGTCAGCTCTTCGTACCTTTCTTACAAATGCCACTGAGAATACTGTTCTATATAGTTAAAACCGCATAGGCGACAAATGTATCAAAATAAAATAACAGGTTGAACAATTGCCATGTTTTCTATATTTTATTTAAAGAAAGATGATGTTTTGAGCTAACACTCTTTGTCAGATCGTATAGCTTACAACCTGTGCATCCTTCTTTAAATAAAATATAAAAAACTTGGCAATTGTTCAACCTATTATTTCATACTGAAAATATTGTCAATAGCCTACCCATGTGGTGAAACAATGAATTCTAATTTTTAAAAATAAGAATGTAAGAACAGTATATTTAATTAGCTATACTCATTACTGGTTTTAGTTTTGATCTACGTAGGTACTTTATTTTGATTAAAAGTTAATACTAATTAATTTATTCTTAAGAATATGTCTCCTAGTGGGTCAATAGTAAGCTTACGGACCTAAAATGCTAAAATCTGGGATTCAATTTCCCATGGTGAACAAAGTGCAGATGGTCTATTGTTTAGCTTTATGCTACACAAACCCACATGAAGGTACATGGCAGGAACATTTCTAGCAAGTGTGGAATTATGTGAAAAGGACAGATGATACTTAACCCTTTGTGAGAATATGGCTTTGTTGTTGTGCAAGTTACAATCTTTTACAGCGTCACATTCAAAACTAAATTAGATAACTTTATTATCAATAAGCTTGGCATGAAAACATAAGTTCTAATTCAAATTTGTGTGTGTGATCTAAGTTTTAACTTGTCAATTTCAAAATTTGTTTAATTTCTCAAGTTTTTTGTGTCATGTGAGCTATAATTTCACCCTTTAATTACCTAATGTCAAAATAGGCTGCTCCAGTTAACAACCAATTAAAAACACAAACTATACATAATTACAAGCAAAACCTAAAGTTCAAATATCCTATATTCTTGATTTGCTGAAATATCAATAAATTTATAAAAACCCACCAGAAAAAAACCCTCCCCCACCTCTCTATGACTTTTGAGGTTATTTGATAATCACCTTTACATGGCTGATGGAGTACATTCTCCTCTACATAAATAAACCTTTCAAGTTGTTGTTTAATTTCTTGCCTCACTAGAATATAATGTCCCAAAACCACTATAATTTAACTGGGTTTCTAAGTAAGCTAAATATAGAATAAAAAAAAAAATCCTTTATTGTTCAGAGCAACAAAATATGATCACCACAAGACAACTAATTCTGCTAACTAATGGTTTACAAGAAAGTTCCAAATTACTTATTTTAACAGTCTGAATAGTTTTAACTGTTAACCTTTTCACGTGTGCTTCCTTCTTATTTTATGGCTTTACTGTTGTACTTTGTACTCACTGGAATAGTAATCCTCAAGTCAAAAGCAACAAATTACAGTGAGAGCTGTTTTCTATGGAACTAACATAAACACCACGTGATTGTCAAGTGTAATGTTTCATAAAGCTTGTGAAATTTTACTGTAGTTTTGTTAGGCTAAGCTGAGAAGTTTATAATTTTTACATTTTAGTTACTTTTTTGTATAATAGTTATATATATAACAATAATTAATATATATATACACACACATAAAAACAAATATTTTTAGTATTAACTGCATATTCGAGCTAATTGGCCCTCAAGTAAAAATTGAAGTTGTTCTGTGATAAGTGCTGTTGAGTGTCACAAATTTGGATGTCCAAAAAACAATTAATGTAACTTTCAAATATGCATTTTAGATACAAAAAATATATCAGATCAATACTGCTCTTTGGATCTCCATGTTGCATCGTTTTTTTTTAATTATTTCTTGTGCTTTGCAATGTCAAGTTTATACAGCTCATCAGTAGTAATCTTTTCTCACTTTGGTTTCTTGTGAACCAGATTTCTTGTCCTCTACAGCCTCATGTGGTTGTTCCCTCTCTTGTTTTTAGCTCTCTTATTACTATCCATTTTGCATCTCTGTGCTCGAGAACATCAAAACCTGTCAATTGATGCCTCTCTATTCAGGTATGGTGTGATTCTGGATTCCTGCTCCATTTTGGAAGTCTAGTTTCCAGAGGAGTGGTCTCTCTATATCAACGTCCTCCAGA